GAGTCCGTTGCGACTCGCCGATTTTTAAAACCGTGGTTGAAACTCTCTATGCGCTTAATAGATTATAGAGGTGTAGAAGGCACTAGCACTAATTGAGCTTGTTTGAGTTTCTAAGTTGTTCCTTCAAGTATATCGCCAAGTATTGTTGCCTTCCAATGCTGTCCAATGCTGAGTATTCTGGGGCCAACTTCGCTTTGATTTGGCTAGAAGGCTATGTGTGGCTTTGCAAAACCCTTGTAGTATGCAGGCGAGAATCATCATCTAGTTCAGGTGTTTAAGACATTTTCCAGATGATATATCTCTTATAATTTCAAAAAACTTACCCATTTGATACAAGGCATCTGTTTACAGTTACTTCATTATAGTCAAACCTTAATCTTGGATTCGCTGGAAGAAGTGTTTGGTTCCCTTTTTTTTTTTCGTCCTCATAAGAACAGAAGATTGTGCTAGTAGTTGCTGTACAAGAAGATTTACTTGTTGTTCCATATTAATTTACCTAAAGCCAAAATAACTTGCTTACTCCCATGAGGATCCGTGCAATAAATTTCCTTAAGAAAATATGCATTATCTATTCACAGGAGGAACGGTTTCAAGTATGTCATGTTTGATAACTTGAAAATTTGTAATATTATTGACGAATGCAAATCCTGTGAGTACACCCCTAGTTGAGTTCTCTTCTCTGCTTGTTTGATTTGTTACATTTGTGGGATCACATGCATATTCTGATATATTATGCTAGACCACGAGGCGTGGATTGATATCATTTAGTATTTTAATGAAGAAGAGAAAATTTAATGGGGGTCTTATGATTTCATTCTTTGGCCTCCAAGGCTGCTTGTATTTTGGATTTATATTGTGAACCTTCACTACAAATAGAAAAAGGCCCGTCTATTAGAAAAGAGAATTCTAAAAGTGCATTGAAGAAGTATGGAAACATCCAATCAGATGACGTTTCCAGATAAGAGTAGGAATCAGTAGGGTTTTATGGGTATGGGAGAGGTAACCTTGGCACTATACCAATATCTCTTTGCTCTTTGATTTGAGGATAGTGAAAATACTTGTCATTATAGTGATCTTGGCAACAGGATTTGGTTGTTACTTTTTTTTAAAAAACCTAGTAGAGTGTATGCATATCGAGTGCCAACCAAACTTTCAGTTAAAGTTGTATGTAAATAGTGTGGGCAGGTATATCAACCCTGGTAAAATTTAAGAGGCATGACTGTATTTTCAAAGGTCCAAGATCACACAAGTGGCTAAACTGGGTTTGTGTTTGAAACATAATCAAGAATCAAGGGGTACCGGAATGGCTTAACTGAGTGAAGAAATGAGTTGTCATTAAAATCTGGTATCAGTCACTGACGTTGCCCAAAGTTACCGGGATCCACTTACGAGGGGTCAATTATGCTCCGGAATCCCAATCCTATCTGCCGGGGAAGTATCTAGCTCCTCCACGATTCAAAATTTGAGAATCTCAATTCTTCTTATTAGGGATCGAGGTCCTATATTATGCGGGATCCATGTTCATTAGCATTATAGTATTGTTAGTAGCATAGTGCAGTATGGCGATCTGGTACAACATAGTTTTGCAGCATAGCAATATTTTATAGTATAGATGTGTCATCATTATTATCATCATCATCATCATTATCCAAGCCTTGTCCCAATTATTTGGGGCTGGCTACATGAATTTGTTTTTCCTCCACTATTCTCTATCAAAGGTCATACCCTCATTAAGCCCAAAATTCATTGTAACTTTTCTCACTACGTCTATCCATGTCTTTTTCGGCCTCCCCTTGCCTTTTTAGAGCTTTCCACTTGAACTAGATCACACCTCCTAACCGGTGTTGTATTAGGTCTATGCTGCACATGGCCGGCTCACCTAAAGCTACTTTCTCTCATCTTTATTGAATCCACACCTAAGTTCCCTCGTATGTATTTATTTTGAATTCTATCATTTATTGTCTTGCCACTCATCCATCTCAACATCTTCATCTTAGCTACACTCATCTTATCAAAATGTTGTTTCTTGATCGCCAAACATTTCGTCCTATAAAGCATGTGTGGTCTTACAGCCATCCTATAGAATTTCCCCTTGAGTCTCAATAGTATTCAACGATCACATAAAACTCCAGATGCACATCTTCACTTTGCTCATCAAGCTCTAATTCTATGTGCGACATCTTCCTCAATCTCTCCATTCTCTTGGATTATCGACTTTAGATATTGGAAATAATTTCTCTTAGGTAATTCTTGACTATCAATTCTAACTACTTCCTCGTTTCTACTCCTAGTATTGCTAAACTTGCATTCCATATATGGTCCATCTAATTTTAAAACCTTTAGATTCTAGATCGTCATTTCAATGTTTTAACTTTGCATTGATGTCCCCTCTAGTCTCATCCATCAAACTTATGACATCCGCGAATAACATACACCACGGTACCTCATCTTGTAGGTGCTTGGTTGACTCGTCCATTATATATTTATAAGCTATATGGTACGTATTATATAGTTTTACACAGTAAGTTTTAGGGAAATTATAAAAAATATTTCTAATTTCCCTAAAACTTACTGGGTAAAATTATATAATACGTACCACATAGGTTATAAATATATAATGGGCGAGGTTTTTTGGATTATTAGAAATAAACTCCAAAATTTTCAAAACCTCATCCATACCCCTTCTTAGGTCCGTGAAGGCATCATAGTTTTCCCAAAACCGTGATGGTCGTTGATGGCTCAAATGTTGTTGGTGTGGGGCTTAAGTCATCACGGTTCTATTTGGACCGTGACAATGGGGCTACATTAGACCATCACAGTACTTAGATAACCGTGATGATAACCTTGACTCTCACGGTTATTTAATTGCCGTGATGCTTCAAAAACTTAAATCCAATACAAATTGGCTTAGAACCCATCACGGTGCTTTAAGTGCCGTTATGCCTCAAGACTTAAACCAAATACATATTGGCTTAGAACCCGCTGTGACCATCACAGTTCTAGGTTGACCGCGATGACTTTACAAATCTAAGACTACAGTGAAGGGTATTTTCATCAAAAAATGCAAATAGTGGTGAAAAGGGGTACGAGTGAGGTTTTGGAAAATGAGGTATATTTTTTATAATTTCCCCAAATTTTAAAATAGTAACATATAGTATAGCGTAGTAGAATATAATATATAGCAGTGTTGTAGTGTGCTATATTAATATGACAATGTGTATCAATGTTGTATATTATTGTAGTAGTATGCTATACTATTATACTAGTTAACCGTGATGATAACCTTGACTATCACGGTTATTGAAGTGCCGTGATGCTTCAAAAACTTAAATCCAATACAAATTGGCTTAGATCCCATCACGGTGCTTTAAGTGCCGTGATGCCTCAAAACTTAAACCAAATACATATTGGCTTAGAACCCGCTGTGACCATCACAGTTCTAGGTTGACCATGATGACTTTACAAATCTATGACTACAGTGAAGGGTATTTTCATCAAAAAATGCTAACAGTGGTGAAAAGGGGTATGAGTGAGGTTTTGGAAAAGAAGATATGTTTTTTATAATTTCTCCAAATTTTAAAATAGTAACATATAGTATAGCATAGTACTGTATAGTATATAGCAGTGTTGTAGTGTGCACTATATTAATATGACATTGTATATCAATGTTGTATATTATTGTAGTAGTACGCTATACTATTATACTACTATACTAGTTAAGTGTTCTCGGTGGGCTCAATTTATAAGCAGATGGAGTTCGGTCTAATATAATTTATCATTCAATCCTGATTATGTTTGGATTAAGCTCCCCCACATATTGGGATCGAGATCCTAGATTTTAGGGTGTATGGACTACAATCCCTAGCATAGGGAGATTTCGACTTGTCCCAATCCCTATCTTGGATCTGATTCGACCCTGATCCCAGTAACTATGATATTGACCATGAGTGTTTCATTGGGATAGGGTACTGTGGTGTATTGGTTTTGGTGTATTGTTGTTTTTACCATTGAAACGGAGAAACTCTAAAATCTCTAGGATTACATTGGAATGATGGAAGTAGTCCAAATTAAAGGCTTCATCCTGACTCTGAACTGCATCATTCTAGATTGAAAAAGAATGAAACAAATTCTTAACAGCTAATTCCAATCAAGTTTTCCCTGGCATCTGTAAACTCTAGAAACAGTTACTTGGCTTATGTTGGGTCGTGCCAAACTCGGTCTTGTTTGTCCTGCTAGAATGCCAGAAGGTGACCAACGTGATTGAGAAGAATATGGTTTCAATTCTCTTAGGATTTTAAGCACATAGTGAAATTTCTATCCTTTCATGCATGCACAATTACCTGAGATATCTGAAGAGATACAAAAAGAAATTCCAGAAACACACAAGCAGGAAATGTTAGAAATATGTTTTTCAGCAAGCTTTGAGCCTTTCATCTTAACATTTGAATGGGCACAAGGGACAACATTGATTACTTCAAAATGAGGAAATGAGGAACTTATAAACTTAGAAATTCCCATGTATTAAATGAAGTAGAGCATTCTGTGATGCCCATGACTTAGACAGATTGAAGAATGCTTTTTGTATAGACTCGTGCTTTATAATCAAGATTTATATGGTCTGCATGTCTTTTTATGTTGAGGCCATGACCTTTTCAATCTCATTCACCTTCATTCATATCTATGTATTTATCAAATATGGATTAAGAATGCCAATCAATTTGCTCCATATGTGATACAATACCGTTCTGGCAAACCTTTTTATTTGTTACTTCTAAATTTTGGGCAATATTATTGCCTAGTACGCTTGTTATTCTGCCGTGTATTACTAAAGGAATATACATAGGAAATATGGCATGATTTTAACATTCACTGATGTAGATCTTCTAATTTGTGTCTGATTAGTTAGTTTTAAACCATTATTCTCTCAGCTGAGAATCCTTTTGAATAGTTTGGAAGTTGGACTCTGAGGTGTAACAGACCCTTGTTATTGTTTTTTACAGACACAAATATTGATGGATCAAATGGAAGAGCTTCGCAGGAAGGTGACGATATTGATTTTTAATGGAAAGCTGCTTCAAATGTTTTGGCTCTTGCTCTGTGATATATTCTGTCCTTCATTTTCCATGTCAAACAAGGACTTGTAGTCGAGTTTTGTGAGTTAGCTGCCTGGGATTTTTCTTTTGAATAAATATTCAGAAGAGAATATCTCAAGAAAGCAGAAAAGCTTTGCAACCTTGGAGCATGGGAAACTTAAGTTAGAAGAGTAGAAGATAGATGCTTTGTGGAAATCAATTAATCCTTGTTGTGTAAGGCTACCTTAATTATGTGGATTCTATAGACTGTTAGGTTTTATTGAATTTGATTAATGTGTCCATTATATATTGCTTGTTCTCTGATATTTCAAATTCTTTTTAGTATGATTGATTTCATCTCTAGCAGTACCTGTGTAACATAAGCAGTTGTCCTATATTCTATTCCTCATATGGTGTTCTAACTAATTTTTTCTTCACTTTTGTAGTTTCTTCTGTGACACCAGTACCGGAGGTTGCATCAATACTTCAAATCACAATTGATAATTAATCTACAGCAACCTAGATATATCGTACAATTGTTCTTTTGAATGCCATGTAACTTGCTATTATGGGTGGCCTTCTTGATTTGTCTTCTCATAAGCATATCCTAAGAATGCATTATAGAACTCTAATCACTTTTCATTAGATACTAAGGATTCTTACATGTAATGAGTAGGATATTTGAGATACGTGAGCCATTCATAATTATTTATCAAAAGGAATTACAGCACTTTTGTATTTCAGACATGACCAATGCTTTATTTCACCTGTTGATGTAAATGTACTCCAGTATGCTTCATTTCCTCTTAAGCGCTTTAGTGCTACAATTCTGGTAGTCAACTCCAATCAAATTTAGTTAAAGTTCATTATGGTCACAAGGATGCAAGCTGATATTTAAACTTTTCTGGGATAACTTATATAACAAAAATTGTAAGCTTGTGTCTAGAATTTAACAGTTAGAACCAGCATTTTTAAAAGGCAACCACTTCGTCCTCCTAGGCACCATGATGCAGTCCTGCGATGAGCTATGAAACCGACCAAAGAAGGGAAACAGTCTTGAACAAAAGACCCTTCTTATGTTTGGCATAATTAGAAGCTAAAGGAGAACTTTCAGGAGGACAATGAAATCTACCCCATTATTGTGAAAAGTGTAGAATATAGTAACGTGTAGTTGGAGATGAAGAAGAATTCCCTGGAGAGGGCTTGACCTAGAACCAAGCTTGTGAGGCTTCTGGGAGCCCAATTAGCCCGATCACTTGATCTCAATTTTGGAGGAAGAGGTTGAGGAAAATGAGAGGAGGATGAGGAGGAGGCATGCTCAGAGGAGAATTAGATGCAGCCACTTGAGATGGAGATGCGGTTGGTAGCATTGATGAAACACATTTACCACTTTGAGTTCATCATATTTGTTGGGATTCTTTGAGTTTTGTTGGTTAGTCTTATGAGTTTTGGCTTCTGTTAGATGTGAGTTGTGAGGTTTTGACTTTTTTTGCTATGGATGAAGTAGATTGTTGACCATGGGCCTATGGAATTCTTCACATGTGATACCAGATGGTTTATGTGAATAATAATTGACATGCAATTTTTTATGAATTTTTGGCAAGTGTCGAACTTATAAGGTTTTAGAATTTCAATTTCAAGTGTCAAACTCATGTATTTATGAGATTGAAATAGTTCAACTGTATAATACAATAACACCTACAGAAGCCCCTGAATTTTTTTTTCTATCCATATGTTTTATAGTACAATTAGGGGGGGTTTGGTATCCAACCCAAACCCCAAGAAACACCCTAGACAGTCTAAACCTGATTCCTCTCTATTTAGGCATCTGCGGCTGCATCTGCATTCTCCAACTCTTATCATGCCGGGAAATGCCTTAGGATCTCAACCAGAACAAGCTATTTCATGTGCTTATTTTTATGGAAATTTATATGCCTTGATCTTTGGGAATGGGAGTGATCTGATTGATGGCCAAATCAAGCCATATCTCGATATATTTCACCACAGATTCATGCGGTTTCTGCCTCATGTGAAGAGTTCAACATATATATCTTTTTCAACTTTGTTGAACAATGCACAGAATTCTTCCTACATCTGTGACCCAAAGTTATAGAGTTTGACAGGTGCGGGGAGTACCCTTTGAAGGGAGCTGTGAAAAGGGTTACCATGAATTGGTGGAGCATTAAGTGGTCGCTCATGGCTGTATCACTGCAAGCTGACACAAAATGTGGAATATTTTGTTGAGGTGAACATGTCCCATTGAACTTTGGAAATTTTCCTCTATGTTAACCAATTGAGAATGATGTCTCATGAATATATAAGGGATATGGCTTTTAGTATAACGCAGGGACTTTCATACTTAGGATTTGGATACTTTTCAACCCCTCAAACTATTTCAAGTGTCATGGTTTGGTCTGAAGCATGTGTCAGGTACGAGGTACCCTACCTTGGAGGTAGTGAATGTGTTGTTGGAGCAACCAGATTGGTTCTTTCATGCATTAGGCATTACATGTGGTGTGTTTTTTTGTTCGTCCTGTTAAGTGGTGTCATAGCCCTTATAATTGAAATGGCTTGATGTTTTGCCGGAGGCTTTCTATCTTGGCATTCTTTGATGGCAACTCCTCTTGCATCTGAATTATTATGGCTTTGAGTTGTGCCACCTCATCTTTGAGGGAGTTGGCCATGTGGTTCACCACCTTGACTTGAGGGCTGTTGATGAAGTTGAGAGGATTTGAGTCAGGTGAGAAGAAGGGTCCAGTGCTGGGCTGCCGGTGGTTTGGCTGTCATTTGTCATTTGATCATCTGCAGCACCAGTCGATTGTGTAGCTTTGATAGATTGCGATGTCTCTGAGCCAAGGCTGTTTTTGGCATATATTCGGCTCGAACATGAGTTGTTTCGGGATGCGGAGACACCTGATTTTGTGCCTCTCAGATACTCTTAGAAAGTCTGTCAATTTTGGGATGCCTTTGACTTAACCCCACTTAAATGAGTGATGGTTATAGGAAACTCTGGAGTTGTGGTTTGAGTGATGGCAGGTCAACCATTTATCTTAGCCCCTGATGATACAGGCTGCGTTTGAGCCGAGGATGAAGACAAATCCATGCAGTGCTTCCTTCTTGAGCATGGTGTTGGCAAAGAAGAGGATAACCCTTGAAGTTTTTCCTCGAGTATCCTCTCAATATTGACTGAGTAGTAGGACTTGAGCCCAGAAGTTATGGTTGGAGTAACTTAGCCATTGATTAAGCCTTGCCAACAGAAAATTGTGCTGAAAGCAACGGTCTCGTATGGGATGTGGCAATGCAATTCTCTCTCTCTCTTACCCTCCCCCCCCAACCTCAGAAGTCTTTGTTGGTTTTTTTCTCTCCAAGGCTTTAAGGATTACTCTCCTTCTAGGAATGATCAAGGCCCTCTTTTGGCAGATTGCCCAAAGAATTATTTTGGACAGATGGTATTTCAATCCATGGACGTTATAGTTGTAGCACCCTATTTGATGCATTTTTGTATCTTTTACCGAAATTTCCTTTATAGGACAATCATTGAGTTGAAGGTGGATATGACACATATTTTTGTGGCTTTTTGCCGAATTTCCCTTTATAAAATAAATCATTTTTATTGAGGTTATGGCCCTTGACAGAGCATAATAGTAGAACAGGATTCGTATAGCCAAACCCAAGTAGTTGGGATAAGGCTCTAATGATGATGAGGAGGTTGATAAATCATTTTTATATCCATCCCATGTCTTTGTATTTTTGCAAGGGTGGATATGGCCCATTTCTTCTATTCTCAAGGCTTTGTGCCATGTTTAGGCTAATTATCTCTGGCTTTCCTAGGTGACCCAAAATGCACCCAAATAGAGAAAGTGTGTTTCACTCATATGCATGTATAAACTTACCCTCGCTTCGTTTCAATATCGCTCTTCAGTTTGGAGCATATGCCTTTGGGCAATCCTATATCTCTTAGGGTTGATGAGTAGATGAGTGTTTATAAACCATGGATTTCTTATAACAAGATCAAGTGGGCATAAATTAGCATGAACCTAATAAGTAGTTACAAAAAATTCCAAATTTGTTTGTGTTCTCATTTTTCTAATCTTCTATGTAGAAGGGTTAGTTATTAGGTATACATAAAACGTTGTCTCAGTACAATGTAGAAACCCATATGCATGAAGAGATTAATACTAGGAGTAGCATTTTAGTAGGGTTCCACACCCCGTACACATTTGACCTTTGGACATGCATGTACAATTGCCTCAATATATAAAAACGTTACAAAAAATATGTTAATAAAACTGTAGCATGCATTAGAAGCTCAAAATTAACATTTATAAAATTGTTTCATTACGTGTTTAGTGCATTATACAATGTAAATGCGCTATTAATATTGTACTATCTTGTTCCTTTGTCTAAGACCAACTCCATTATCTGCTGGTTCTTGTTTCAAGTACTCTACAATCTATTGGGTTCAGAAGATTGAATTGACACTTCTATATAGAAAAACTTTACTGCTCTTATTTGGGGTTATGTGGCTTGGTCTAAAAGGGTGAGGTCCTTAAACTTTCCCTCAACCTGTCCTAAGCCCGAGTAACGAAGGTGGGTTGCGTCAGGTGGGCGGTCAGCGTAAAACTTTGCTATATCTTATCCTAAATCCTGAACCTATAGAATGAAGGAAGAGATCCATATAGCTGGCCCCAAATGATTGGGATAAGGCTTGGATGATGATGATGAATTGAAATTAAGAGGTTAAATTTGAGGTTACTTTGGTCCAGATGGGATCTCATTCTATTGATACAGGTTTAACCAACCATTCTCATCTTGTGTCCAAATATCGACTTGCTATCACTAAATGTGATGTTTTTGCTTGGAAAATTGCTAGATATCAAATACTTGGTGTCTATGTCAAAGTGTTTTATGGTTTTCTGACTAGCTATTCTATGACTATTATCAATGGTACAAGGCCTGTTTGATTTGTGGTACTTGGAGACTCGGAAAATTTTCACTTATGGAAGATCTCATGGAAGTCCAGGCCCTTCGGTTTTTTGAGGTCTGATTTGAGATGGAGATGGCGAAGTACTTCGATGTTTCATATGGTTCCTAGTAGTTGTTGACTTTTATACTGTGGAACACCAAATCTGCTTGTTGGTGGCTCAGTTTTTTGAGTACCTTGTCACTTTTTCATTTTCTATTGTGAGGTTTTTCCGAGTTTTTATATGTTGCCATCTATGAGGCAGGGTGGTGTTGATGTTTTGTGAGAGTAAAAGTGTACTTACTGAAGTTGTTGTGAGAGTCCAGGTCCATTGCGTTTTGATGTCATAGGTGAGATGAAAGGCGGTGAAGTACTTGAATATTTAATGTGGTTCCTGGATGTTGTTGATCTCTCAACAGTTGAATGATAAATCTTTTCGTTGGTGGTTCTATTTCTTTCGTAATCGGTACCTAACCCATGTTTCAGTTGTCAAGGATGAGGTTCTTGTGATTTTTTATATGATACTCTGATAGTGGGTGAAGAGAATCATGTTCTATGATACGAAAACTTGGCTTGCTGATAGATGGGGTAATTTGATTGTTTACATGAGGGGAATTATGCCACGGTAAGTTGATTGTTTACATGAGGGGAATTATGCCACTTGAATTTTTTAACTGTATTATTTTATAATGGAATTTTAAAATTTTGTTTTATGCATCTTAACCTAGAAATATAAAGAAATGATTTTCAAACTGCCTGAGGTGTTCTTCTTGTGTTATACTCAACTCTTTATTTCCCTGACATAATTGCACGCCTATAGTATCCATACGGTCCTTGGTGACTTCCTGATTTCTTAATGACATATCATAAAGGTGGTGTTTACTGATTAAAAAGGAAAATCCATTTTACAAGGATTGCATAAAAGTTAGAACTTGCAACATTCTATTTCTTCTAAGTTTGTTGCCGTCCTCTAAAACCATCCCAAAACTTGGTGTCATAACTTATTGCACACATTGTGGAACTTGTAACTTTCTGTCTTATTGGGGCAAATATTCACCATGATATGGAGAGGTTTTTTATGACATTTTCATTCCTCCATCTGCGTCTGGTGAGGGTGCAACTGCAGGTAAGAACAATGTAGTGCTTTTCTTTGCAACCTTTCTAGGGATGATTGTCTTTAAGACTATTACTTTTCTTCCAGTTCTTTATTTGGCTGACTTCCATTCTCTGTAGCTCGGAGAATCCACTTCATGTTTCTGCTGCTCTTTGGAATTCATATATGGTTCTCATATGTGTCCATGTTTTCTTCAAAAATATTTGAATAAGGAAATACCTCTCCAGATGGTCCTTAATTGTTATTATGTTTACTATTTAGATGCAGCTTAAAGACATGCAGGAGTACTCGTCTCCTTTCACCCGTTGGTCCATGTAAACCATAATTTAATCCATCCTGCTGACCGTTGAAGAAAGTGAATATCACTGGATATTTATTCGTAGGCAGTGGATCCATTGCATCTTGCATTGGCTGGTTAATGCGTTGCAATTTCAGTCACTCACTTATTTCCTTTCCATCTCAACACATTTGCCTGCCATCCATGTTGACTGCTTCCTTCTCAAAAAATTGTTTGGTTTAATATTTTTATTCTTTCATGTTCTGCCACTAATGTAAAGCAAGCTGTACATAGTAGATTCCCAACGCTGTGTCATTCAGTGTTGCTTATTTCCATGAGTGAAAAACAAAAATTTCGGTAGATCAAGTAAAAAGGTAAACTCATGTATATATCTAGCATGTTGTGCTAAGATGATTATGGGAATGCTGCTTTGCTGTTAAAATGTTTTCATCATGAGTCCATATTGTGAAATTTAGTTTCTAAATTTATTTGAAAGTGTTTCATGTGTACATTTTGGTCATCTTCATATTCGTATTTCAATACTTAAATGATAGTTGGCACTAAGAATAATATATTATAACGGAGGATATGAAGATGTGTTGTCTAAATTATTATTTAAGTAAAAGTTCTTTCCCACAGAAGTGACCTCTGCCAAATTCTTTAACTATTGTTAGCTTATAATTTAGACATCAGTTTTAATATATGCATTTGCAGGAGCGGCGCCTCGGAGACATAAATAAGCAGCTCAAGAGCAAGGTTTGATTATTATCGACATAATCTTGACTCTCACAGCATAGCTTTATGTTCAAGCTGTAACTTATCTCCTGTTTTCATTTCTTGGTAATAGCTGGAGTCAGATGGTCAAGGCTCTTTCAGAGGCATTCAAGGGACATGGGAATCTGGCACTGTAGTTGGGAACAACGCATTTGCTGTCAACCCTTCGCATGCTAACCCCATTGATTGTGAACCTACCTTACAAATTGGGTATGTTTGGTGTTTTTGTTTTCCAAAATGTTTAGCAATGTGTGAGACCAACTCTGATGAAATTACTGGGAACAGGTACCATCACTTTGTTTCCCCTGAATCAATCCCTAGGACTGGGCCTGCTGAGAGTAACTTTGTTCAAGGTTGGGTCCTATAAGGTGTTTTCCAGCAATCACTAATCAGATCCCATTGCTGGATTGCATAATTGAATAGATATGTATACAGTTGTTAGTGATGGGGTTCACATGCTCTGTCTTGTCATTGCGTGTTCCATGTCATGGTAATTACTGAAGTTCTCGTCTAGCATGGAACCATTATGCTAGTTATTATTCTAGTTAACAACTTCTATTGTATGAATGCAATAATTCAGCAAACAAAGGATGGAGTAACTCCAACGGCCAAATTTGTAACTCCTAACTTATTTTAATTAGGTTGATGCAATTTGGGCAGCAAAGAAGGAAATTGCTTTCTGTCATGTGCATTTTTCCTTATATTCTATTCAGTCCCTTTGAATGGTATGCTATCGAACTACATTACTGGCTTTGGGTTAACCTAGATATAAGGTGTGGGCTTGCTGGCTCTGGGATGACTCGGGCCCAGCCCCTTAAGCTGACTGCCTTAAATATAAGCCCAGCCTAGCCCGGCTCGTCCATGAAGGGGCCAAAACCGGGCCCATGTGGGACTACACCTTTGAGGCCCATAGGGTTCGTCCGGCCCATTTGCACCCTTGTTAAATTGAAAAATTTGTATAATAGGGGCCTATCTGTCCTTAATAGTATGGCTTGTCCTGGCCTACTTTGCTAATGGGACTTAACTCATGCCCGCCCCACCCTCGCCTGATGGGCCCTATGAACGGGCCCCAAGGCCTGCACATGCTTCAAGGCCTGCAGGTTTGGATCGGCCCATTTGCACCTTTACCTAGAGCTTTATGTTTTGTAGGCTTGCACTTCTGATTGATCATTCTTGTTCATGTCACTTAATTGGTTGTCTTTGTATTCTTGTATGTATTTTTTCTTTTCTATAATGTGGCTTATTTGGGGGTAACTGTTGTTTGGTTCAGAGCTCAAGCTTTTTTTTTTTTGGTTCTTCTTCTTCGGGTTTTGGGGTGGGTTGGAGGGGGTTGTGTTGGGCATATGCCATGTGAAGTGCTCAGAGAAACTCAGAATTGTATATCTGATTGTTGGAGTCAGTTATTTTGTAGAACTCGGGTTTTCTCTCAAGTAATTTCTCTTTTCAAGCTTGCAAGGGTTATATTATTATTTTATTTTAATATCTTTGAGATCTGTTTTTCTTCCAATTACTTCATGAACTCGAAATTTACACAAAATGCAGAAAACCACTAGAACGAAGTATCACAACACTTAGTGGCTTCAATTCTAAGGGGCCAGATATAAATGAAATTGGGGTTCAATCATTAAACGATGTGAATTTTTTTTCAAGCAAACTTGGGGAAAATTTTGAAATCGAATTATGTAGAAATGTATTATATGGCTGTTATTGGAATACAAAAGTATGTATGGTTACGATGCATGCATGAAAATCCAACTTCCGGATAATATCATATTTTAAGAAAATACTAAATTAACAACCCGGAGAACTTCAGCGACTAAAGTCATAATAAAATATAATTGCCAACAAGCATGTACACATGTAAACAAATAAATGTGCAACAAAAATGCATCGATTAAGCAATTCAATAAATAACTACCGAAATGCACATATAGAAGGAAGTAAATGTGAACTTAAATGATACTGAACACCATAGAGGAGCTTTGGATCCAATATTTAATAGAGAAAGCTGAAAAGATCGCCATAGTTTAATATAGCATTTAAAACTAGAAACAAAACCTGTGAATAAAATGTTATGAAGCCACTATGTGTTGTGAATTGAAGCCACAACACTTAGTGGCTTCGATCATAACATGATATGGGCCGATTACCACACCCAACCTGTCAATTCTAAGGGTTTTTATAATGAAACCCTTGATTTGCACTATCTAGGGAGGGCAATGAATCAAAGGGAAATAGGAGTCATGCCAAGCAAATTGGGTGATAAAGAAGAAGCCAATTTGTCATTTTTAAGAAGATTGGGAGCCCAAAATTCGGTAATAACAAGAGTTTTTCTCAAGAAGACCCGAGCCTTTAAAGTGAGTCCAATGCGGGACTTCATAAACTTGGGTTTGCCGAACAGGAAAGTTGAGTCGAACCCGGATTCTGCAAAAACGTATCCAACTGGCGTTGGGATTGAGAGTTAATGCAACTCTTTCTTCTTTAATAACCAATAATACCCTTACAATAGAGGGAAACGTTTCTAGATGGTACCAAATATCAAACATATGTGATTCCTCCTATCAATCATCCGATTTAAATGGACAATTTGAATAACTTCAGTTACAATGTCACGCCTAACATGTTTTTATGTTTAAATTTCGATATAAATCACTTACAAATAAGTGGGCGGCAATCCGCCCTCTTAAATGACAACCCAATGAAAGGAAGTATGCTTTTGACCACGAGCTAGTTCTTTCCATCCACCAACTGTTGCTAGATGACAGGATGGTAGACCACCCAAGCCAAACCGACCCAAGTAGGTTGGGTGTGGTAATCGGCCCATATCATGTTATGATTGGACATGAGGTCGATTACTGCTTTCCAATAAAATGGAATTGAATATTTCATAAAATAGTGGTCAATCCAACCTTTACGGTTGGGAACCAAACAGGCGAACTACCTCAAGGGGGCAGTGAAGGTGAAATGATCCTCATTCATCGACAAACCATCCTAGTACTATTCGCTACTTTCATATGAAATGACTTTGTTGAGATCCCCAAGCCAAAGAGATCCACTAGATAGCAAAGGACTGGTAAATCAGGAGTGTTCCTATACCTCCAGCAAGCATGTCATGGTAAGAAATCCACCCCCTTTGAGGGATTACTTAGGCAGTTGGTAAATGAGAGCCATGTGATCATTGAGAGTGAGATTGCTCTCCCCTCCTTGAAATTCCAACCTATTAATGGCACTGCTCTGTTTCCCTCACCACTTAAAATTGTTGGTGTTTGCAGCCTTTACGGGGCTAGAGACCTTGGAAAGAAAATAATTTATAGTGATTTATAAACTTTAATGGGAGTGTCCTATGGTGAATGACTTAGGGTTAGGCAGTGTATGGCTCGGGTCTGTTGGATATATGGCCTATTACGGCCTTGTGTGCAACACTAGCACTGTTCAAAGTCATAATGGGAGTGACTAGGAACATATTGGCTATGGGTATCTTTACATCCAAATAAGTCAAAATAATCATGTTTAACTAAGGCAACGTTCTTAAACCATATTGTGAACCGAGAGGTTTTACGGCTTTTCCTCTAGTCAAGGTTGGTATGATTGGGTTCGCCTCATGTCATGTTAGCCAGGGCTTAGGGATCAGTGGATCCCGATTTGTTTAAGAAATATTGTTTATAAGCCCAATGTGAGTAGGCTGTAAGATGACATAAGCCCAAATCCCTGACATATCTAGCATGCTCACAACATGTGCATAAACAATCGTCTTTTGGAAAGACATTTTGATGAGGAAAGATCCACCTACTAAAACCATGCACACGTGCTGAGAGAGGCCCCCCCACATCTACAAGAGTGCATGTCCTTGGGGACCACTTGTAATCCACTGAACACCCTGGAGTCCATTTAACTATTGATTAATTTTGATAGGTCCACTCATGCCTAGATTGAAGTCTGTGACTCATAGGGGTATGTTGGGTTGGTCTAAAAAATTGGATTGGGTTTTCAAGTCTAGCCCAGTGGAGTACCATATAGCTCAACCTCCTATGAGACTGTGTTTCCATACTGGAGTTATGAGAAGTTCCAGACCATGTTTGTTTTTATAAAATATAACAAAAAATAATTTATCATTATTTTAGATAATTTTTGAGAATTTTAATGCAAAAAAAATGCTTTGTCAAAATTGTTGTGTGCTATTCCAATTAAGAATATCCACACATGTGGCGTGTGGCATCCAAATGGTCAATGTGTGCTATACATGCATCCCATATGGTAGCCACATCATTGCCCAATGTGCTTAACATGGAAACCCTAACCTTAGACATGGGACCCTAGTTTGGGTTGGACACATAACGTTGATAAATGTAAATTAGTTTATGGCACATGTGTGATGCACATGTGTGTGTTCACATCTAGGAGTGTATAGATTTTACAATTGATTGAACTCCTAATTTTGTGATTTGATATGCATAAGATTTTTGAAATTGTGGATTTTGATTGGTGTGAAGAGAATAAAGGGAACACACCATAACATATGTTGATATAATGTTCCCCTTTTGATAATGGCATTATATGAGCTTAAGTATGATGCAAGTTTTACAACTAATGAGGAAAAGTGTGGCATGCCTCCTCGATTATTGTTTTATAAAGATGATATTAAATCTAAGGTGGTGATTTGTTGATATCTATAGTTGAGATGAATTGATTTTGAAATTAGGGTTTGAAGGCACATAAAATATTGTTAGAATTTTAGAAGTGTTATGTAGGTATTGTGATAAGAGTGCACTTAATCATCACCATCCATGTGATAGCTATCAATGGTAATTGACTAGGGTAGGTCTTTAGCCTCTCTCAATCCTTGGATCACTCAAGAGTAGTTTAGATCTAATCTAAGATCTATACCCCACATGAAAAAACTATAAAAGAGCCACTTCCCACTTCATTTTTTTCCTTGCTTGCCTTTACTCTAAAGCACCAATCTCTCTTCTCAAAGAGGCTCACACCCCACTCACACCTCCCTTTTCTCTTCTACTTCAAAGATCTTAATTTGAGTTTCATACCCCTTGTATAATTGCTAACCTATGACACCCCATGCTGGAGGCATAATCTTTAAGGCCTTATTACACACCTTTCATTAATTTAGAGATGTTATTATGACAAAATCTTGCTACTGTAATTCATGATAACAATAAGTATTTTTAACTCATAGTATCTCTTTCAAGTGTTTTGGTGTTTCAGTTGAATTGCTTTTGCTTTTATTCATTTTGTTGGTGTAGTTTTAAAATTATTAAATGCAAACTGTTGTGGCTTGAATGCTTGAATCTTGCACTTTTGGCTCGGATTTGTTCTCCTTTATTTCACATGGTCTTATGCCCAATACTACTAAAAATTCAATTTCTCTCTAGTTATAAATCTCTTTTGTGAAACTAAAATATCCAGATACTTCTAAAAATTTATTCTATCAATATAAAAATCAATTAAGGTCAAATTAATTAATTTTAAAATAAATTGATGGGATTTGGATCCAACTATGTTAAGAACTATCAAATTTGTTGAAGCACTCCATCTTCCACTATAAACTATAATCCACACTCGCTTTCTCAAACTGACTCAACAGTTCTCATGAGCCACAGACTATCATAGAGGTTCATGATTGAGATATCAAAGTCAGCCAATAGGTGA